AGAAATTGGCCACATATAGACAAATAACATGCCAGAGGAGTTAACACTATTAAAAGGAGTTATAAACGTTACAGTTTGCACCTACGACGCCTGGTAGAGGCTGCTATGACTTTGACTTTATATATTGGGCAAGTAAAGAGGAGACACAAGCAAATTAACCAAAAATATGGAAACGTCAACAAAGGTTTATCAGACAATGAAATTTGATGACTTATTTCCTGTTGATTATGATTTTCTAAATGCCACCACGATAAACGAACAGGTAACAGTTTTAATATGGGGAGGGGGCAGTGACCGTTCGAACTAGTTCAGCAACAAACAAAGTAATTTGAGTTAAGTAGGTCGACGAAGACAAACAAAACAACGTCGTGTGACGCATTGAACCACTTTTACCTTCCTGCCATTGACGAAGAAAACAAGCTCCGATTTCTCCTCGGGTCCCGTAGTTAGTTCCGTCTCTGGCATGATTTCCCGTGGATGACAACTGCTTCCCTCTCCAAAGTTTCGGCTGGCGACAAAGTCCAGTAAGGCTAAAAGGCTTCCGAGGACCAAGCAGGCGGAAACTCGGTCAAACTGTCATCGAAAGTACGTACGCAACTAGCCCGACACCACTGCCAACACAGTGCAGGGCGGAAAACAGTCGACTTTTGGTAAACACGGACCTTACGAAGTTGGAACGTACGAATTTCTTCGATAGGAGGGGACAACTAGCTAGTGTGTTTGGCAAATTTGAAAGATCACAAGCATTCCCATCTCTTTAATTATATACCACAAATAAACAGTTATATAACTGACTGTTGTGATAACTAACTACTTATTTTATTGATCACAAGTGGTTTTTAAGGAGGTTTGGACCGAGTAGCCTACACCCCGTAGAGGCAATGGTAGACTCTGTATTTTTTTGGAGGCGTGCCAACTAAATGGGCGTTTACCTGTATGCTACCTGTCATTGGTTAAACGTGCTATATGGCACGGAGGTATGCAAGGTGTAGCCTCTACTACCAGGCTTCGTGAGTGGGTAAAAAGAGTAGAAAATACACAGATGACACGCTAGGGGAGTTGGTCTGCTAATGCTAACGTTATATATCGTTCGTTACATTTTGGGGGATTTGCTATTTGTTCATTCGAGTACATTCGGTTGCGGCAAATTGAGTCCTTTTATAGCGGACCAAATCCCCTGACATGTTATTTAACGTATTTAGCCTAGAATTTGGCAAATTTCTACTCTTCCCAGCCGCTTTCGAAGCCTGGCAGAGGCTAGTAAGGGGGCCCCGTCACCGTATATGTACACTTAATATAGTGTTAAGTGTTAACCACCTGTTAATGTGGTCAAACATGCTACTAGTATATGGCACGTTGTGGGGTTAGGGGCTATCAGTCAGTCACAATATTATGCAGGGCTATTATGGGACTTTTAGCCTTAACTTTAGCACATTATGTGTTGTTAACACGATGGTGGGATAGATGAAAGAATGTTCATTGTTTGCCATCTTCTGCTCACAATAAACTTGCTGTGATTGCTCCGAAAGCTCTCTAAAAGTAGCCTCTAACTGTTACCAGGCTGTAGCTTCAGAAGTGGCTGGAAAGAGTACAAATTGGCCTTAGATCAGAACAAGCCAAACTGTAACTTAAGTGGGTCCTCTGGTAGTGGTCAGGGTTTGGAAAGTTGCAAAAATATTAGCCTCTACCAGGCTTCGGGAGGCAGGTGGAAAGAGTAGAAATCAGCCAAACAGAGAGAACTCCCCTGGCATGTTATCTCTCTGTTTGGCTGATTTCTACTCTTTCCGGCCGCCTCCCGAAGCCTGGTAGAGGCTACAAAAATACATTAATTCACCACAAAGCACCATATTTAATTGCTTTGTCCTTCTTCAATGGCTGCGGGGGGTGACCTGTGAAATATGCGCGGGGATAAAAAAGTGTCCTTCATTAATTTTATTCATGAGATTTACGAGCGACAGAAGGACACAAACTAAAGAGCTCTTTGATGGTATGGGGCATGTCAAGGCAAGGTCAGTGATTTGAACAGACATGCTAATACAAAAAGCGCCTTTGTCCCATGCTTAAAGTAAGAGATTGGAATACTAGTAGTACTTTTCCAGAATTTCGTGACATGGTAACCTGTCCAATATTAATAACATTAAACACTAGGTGAGCAAACTTTTTGTGTTGGATCTAAAGTTCTCTAAACTCTAGAACAGATAACATCTGTGTCCATAATATCACCAGGGTCCATAATATCGCCACCTTGAGAAACAGTGTGCTTAAAGATATTTTTACTGCAACATACTTTTGGTATGCACTCCTTCACACATCAAATGTACATGCCTAGAGTGTGTTGCAGTAAAAATATCTTTAAGCACACTATTTCTTAAGGTGGCGATATTATGGACCCTGGTGATATTATGGACACAGATGTTACATATGAATACTACATTTGGTTGTGACGGTTCCAAACTTGTCCAATATTATAAAGTCTTGCACAGAAAAAACAGTAATCTCCAAGCAGATCCTAGGGTGGCAAAAGACAGTATCAAATTGGCCGGGCAGTATCCATTTGCCAGAGAGGGTCCATACGCCACCCAGGGACTCTCTCTGGCTTTTGCCACCCTAGGATCTGCTTGGAGATTTTTAGAAAACATTGTGGGGTCCTGTGGCGCAACGGCAGCGTGCGCGACTCGGAACCAAGAGGTCCCGGGTTCGAGTCCTGACATGCCACCGATCTTGTGCCCTTGGGAAAGGCACTTAACACGACTTTCCCCACCCAAACTCGAGTGAAAATGAGTATTGTCTGTGCAGTATTTGTTTCTATGTGCGGGACACAACACCAGCAACAGCTGCCTCTGTTCCGCGTGTATTGCACTGTTGCAATTTCAATAAATCAAATCAAATCAAAACATGACTTGCACAGTAAGTCGAGAGAGTGTGCGAGTGAATCCTGCTATGTGTATGATGTTCTATGCAGACGATGCATTTATTAGTGAATGTAGAAATCCTGTGTGTGGTGGAATGGGTTGACACACGTGTGCATTTGTGTGCTCAATACTGAGTTGTCTGAAGATGTAGTGTAGATGAGGGCCAGCGAGCCCTTTTTCGTAAGGCGTAATCAGGCTGTTTTAGACTTCGTAATTCGTAGGCAGCCTCCGCAAAAATCAACGTAATTCGTAATTGGACATTAGCCGCAAATCGTAAAGTCGTAATCAGCTCTGAGACTTAACGTAATTCGTAATAGGCGGTGAAAATTTTGCGTAATTCGTAATCACTACCCCCCCCCCTGCAGGCCCTCGTAGATGGCTCCAGGCCATGTTTTCATGTTGTGAAAGGACTACTTTAGGCCATACCAATTTGATTAGTTGGTTCTCGGATTCAATGAAGCAGGTGGTGGAAAAAAACAGGCCTATGATAGCAACAAATCTTACCATAGGAGCCACAAAGTCAACTTATTACGAGGCTGGTTTATAATTCAAACAATGGATCTTAAACTGTTCAAATCACTGCATTCATAAATGGAAAAACTGTTGTAAGAAGTACAAAATGCAGGAAGGCATCAGACTTTCTCCAATTGTTTGGTGCCAAAATTTGGACACCTGACTGGTGTAGGTTTTTTTTTTTTTTTGCAGGAACTAGGAAGAAAATGACTGTCTTCAACTGTTGGGGCCAAAATTTGTCTTTCATTGAGCATTTTGCAGTTGATCTTTTTTTTTTTGCAAATCAGAAAAAAGTGGACAGGGCAAATCCGAGAAACAACAAGTAAAATTGGTGTGGCCTTATGTACGATTGTATCTGATGGGGTAAAAAAAACATCTCTGAAGAATGGAAAGTTTCCATCAGTGTCCTTTAATGAGGTAACATCAATCAGCATCCTAAGTGTCTAGCAAACAGATGAGGTAATGATATATGTATTTATATACATATATAGTTGCCAAGCAATAGTTGCCAAGGTGGCGGTTGTTCAATTTAATTAATTCAAGGCAAGCAACTTTTCTTCCCAATCCTTTTACAGTACAAGCATTTCACGAAAAGAAGATGGTTGTTGTCTTTCTTTCTTCACAAGGAAATGAGTGTCCACCTTAAACATACACAGAGCTGAAGCTGAAGTTGGCTTAGTGTAAAGACTGCCAAAAAAGGGTAAGCAGAAATGTCATATTTTACAAGGGAACAAGGTAGACATTCTTGCATTACCCAGAAAACTAAATGCCTTGATAAGGTTTTCTTTTCTTCTTCACCATACCAAGCTTAATAAGCCTGCGTTTTGGAATCAAATTCAATACATTATAGCTAGTGCTTCCCCAAAACAGTGTCTAGAGAGGTAGATTTGATAAACATTAGAATCAAGACTGCGACAAGCAACACATCTTTGCTCTGACTCACCTGTTCCAACCAGAAAATTTTTTTTGAGACTTCAAGGCTTGGCTGGAGGATTGGAAAAGTACATGTTTGTAGTTGAAGGACCTTGTTTCCCATTTTCAGGTTACGTAGACATAGTGTAAACTTCTAGACTTGATGAAAAACTGTAACAGTTGCAGCTTTACTGAAAACTCGAATCATTATGAAGTGTACAAACTTTTGTTCAACTTCAGCCTCAGCTCTTTACATATCCGTGACAATCAAACTCACATCATATGCCATTGCAGCATGCGGCTACTTTCGGGGACATTAAAGAGTAGCCCAACGTACAGTTCATATAGCACCAAAACATGGTTGCAGACAGCAACAGATGCTGTACGACAATTCTCTTCAATGCGGCAACCAAAAAAATTGGTTGCATACAGCAACGCATGCTGTGTTACAATTCTCTTTGAGGCAACCAAAAAATAGCCTGGGTGCCATCCTCCGTAGTATTCGCCCGCTCCCTAATGTCGCTAGCTACCACAGGGTCTGGACTTGCTGACATACATGTATGTAACGTCTGGAATCTGAATATTCGTCCAGATTTTGAACGAGCGTGCCGAATGGTCCTACTAGTCTAAGACCTTTTTTGGGGTGCGCTCTTGTAGGAAAGGTGTGTACATATTAGGTAAGCCGTTTGGACGTGAACGGCGACGTTAAGATGGATCTTATTCTTATGTTCTATCGCGCCGCTCGGGCTACCTCATTACGTGACGTCATCACAGGACGTTACATATGTCAGCAAGTCTAGACCCAGTGGTAGCACCAGCGACATTAGTAGCGATATTAGAATACTACGGAGGTTGGCACCCAGGCTAACCAAAAAATGGTTGCGACCAGCAACACATGCTGTCGGACAATTCTCTAGCTGTGCGGCACCACACACACAGTTTTCATGAGGTATTCAGAGTTGATCCTTTGTTTTTTTTTTACATTCCTATCTATGCAACATCGTTTGACAATACCTTGTTTCATTCTTTCACCCTCGTCAATGTATTACTCTAAAGAGGAGTGCAGGCATATGGCAGGGAGGTGAAAGCATGTCGGCAGAACGTACTGCGCCTGCACAGAACCCTGTATTTTCACTGTTTTCGATGGATTTTTGGTCAACGTTGCATTAGAATTTTTGCCTGTTGCAGAGAATATCTTTTCCGACATAACATTTGGAAACTACAGACGAGATGTTTTCCTTATACGACCTTATATGAAACGTTCTGTCCAAGTGCTATGTACAATCAAGGAGCTTTCATCAAGGAGCTTTCATCACATGAAAGCTCCTTGGTACAATACATTACGGGTTTCGCGCAGGTGCAGTGCCTTATGCCGACGTGTTGGAGTTGAACCAGTAAACTCCCCTAACTTGACGTGAAAATATCACGAGAATAAACATGAGGTCTTGAGACATATTTCCTGGAGATAATCTTGACCGTCAAATCCCTACAATGTGCCTGCTCTTCCCTTCACAATTTTCACTGACAGATTCACAACATGATAATAAACTCTTTTTCACAAAGCAATTATAATACATCCATCTCATGGTTCATTTTTCTTGGCTGCAAACCGCACAGTTTCAATTTTACCCTTCTGTGTACCTTAGGCCGCACCAATTTATTTTGTTGTTTCTCGGATTTTTTTCAGAAAAAATCAGGCGCGACAGGGCGAAATAAAAAAATTAAAAAAAAAAGGCCAAGGTACCCCATGATGGCCGAAAACGTTACAATATGAGCCAAGAAATGAACATACCAGGCTGGTTTATAATTAAAACAATAGATTTTGAACTTTTAAGGAAAAAAATTGCATTGTTACATTGAAAAACTTAAGAACTAGGAAGAAAAGGACTTTTTTCAACCGTTTGGGCAAAATATGTCTCTCACTGAGCAGTTGATTTAGAACCAAAAAAAAACAATTTTTTTTCAAATCAGAAAAAAATGGACAGGGTGATCCGAGAAGCAACAAATTAAATTGGTGTGGCCTTACCAGTAATCATCGTGCATTTTTCTTGCTTGGTAGCCACACTTGAAGACTACTACATGTACATCTTGCTGCAATTTCTTTTCATAGTCCAAAATACAGCTTTTCTTCCTTATAATGGCATTAAAATCCTCACACACACAAACACACTATCAACAGTAGTCACCTGGAGGTAGCAAAGTTTCAGTGAAGGCAAATTGACATTTAGTGCTAAAAACACTTGAAAAAAGCCGGTTAAATCATAAGCCTCTAGTCCATGCTGGCTAATAGTAACATATCCTATGAAACAGATCGTACAGCCAGATCATACTAAACATTCTTACTATTAAAAAGGCTAAAAGATAAGCTTTCACAGAGCAAACTTACTAGTTGCACTGACGAGTTACTAACCAAATACACATCTGCTCTGGACATCCTTGTCTTACTCAACCCCTAACAGCTTCCAGAGAGGTCAGTCAGCAACATACACTTTTCAAAATATCAACTTCTTGAAGAAACCTCAAGAAAACACAACGTTTAAAGGAACTCTTGATGGCTGTAATCAATTATTCAATACAACGTGATTGTAAAAAGCACAAGCGCTAAACTCTACGAGCAACATGACGTGAAAAGTGACATCAAATGTCCAAGCATGATCACAACAACGTTTTACAAGCAATGGATCTGTAGTAAGTAAACTTTCCAATAACCTATACGTGATATGTTTGAATCTTGTCTCTGGGTTATCCACTAGTATTCTTCACATTCCTTTCCTTTCAGAGACTGAACTAAATGTTAAGATAAGTAGTTTGATTGTGGACCATATTTTTTCCATTCCTCTATCCGGCTGGCAAGGTGTTACTGTAACAGTATATGAGAAAAGATGAAGCTTAAATGCACTTTTCGCTTAGTCTTTGAGACTTTCGAACAACTGTATGGTAACCTATAGACAAGTTTCAACATCGTTAGATGCAATTCCTCAATATCATCCGCCTGCCACATGATTTCTGGGAAATGACAGGAGGGGGATGTGCCCTTTCAAAGACTTGTTTGTTGCTATAATAATTAGATCATAGAAAGGCTCAGCCTGAAGTGCAGCATAGAAATGAACAAGCAAGCTTAAGGCGATAAAACTCTGTGATATATATATACAGTATACACGGCGTTTCAACAAGTGGATAGCCAAACGCTTATGAGGTAGAGGTACAGATTGCTTGCTATACCTACTGCTGCACTGAGTCTACAAACCTTCCAGCTTACAGCATTCATATTGTCCACTCATTGTCCACTGTGGACAAACGCCTACTACTACTACTACATGTACTATTTCACTTTACTTCCCTTTCGTGAGAATCATAAAGATAACTGCTCCACTTTCCTAGTACATGCGAGATATTAAAAAGACAACCATAACGACTACCCTGGCATCCCAAACAACTGTCTCGTCTGACGTGGAACCAAACACAAAACAAACCGGCCGTTCGCCTACGTTTTTTGTACAACTCTGGAATGCCGATATGCCCTGAATCCCTTGCCCTTCCTTTCTGTAAGTCACAGCATTAAAGGCATCCAGTGCAGTTTTTAGGGTTTGGAAACTTGAATTTTTCAAAGCCAATATTTTAGGCATTTATCTACATAGTGAGTTGAAACCACACTGCCCCATGTATATTGACCGTCATGGAGCAAAAATTCCCAACATCCTGACGGAAATTCTTACCGGAAGGGCCCAGGGCTGATTTTTTTAGGGTACCTCCCAGAAAATAAAGGACTCGTTTCTGCTGTTTTAAACGCCCAAAGTATGAAATGCTGACTCAAATGTGCTAAATGTGAAGCAGTATGTGTCAACATCACAAAGATTGCCTTCTTCAGAATATTTCCAATTTTGCTGCCCTGAAATCGCATTGGATGCCTTTAACCTAGCTGGGCACTTCCGCGCTGCAAGGATGTGTATGTTTCTCTCCATCCGTGCAACTAAATAGTCATGACACCATTTTACAACCATGATGAGGTATATGAGAGACAAAGTAGCAGCAATCACACCAGAGGTTTTGCCCATTCTCATGCCTATAGTAGTTAAAAATCGTCTTGTTGTATTCTCAGGGCTCGAAATACTGGGTGCATGTGCACCTTAGTGCACCGAAAATTGGAGCTGTGCACCCATTTCTCTCTGTGGGTGCACTGGTGCACCCAAATATTTTTGTAGGTATTTTTGTACACAACATATATAATGGTATGCAGGATATTCTTGGCATACAAGTGTCAGAAAAATCTTTGTTGTAAGTTATCCCCCATTTGAGATTCAAGCTCAGAAGAGGAGCAGTAAGATCTGTAATTAGTTTTTGTTTTATATGGTGCACCCAAAAAATTTTTTGTGCACCTAATATTTTAGGTTGGGTGCACCAGTGCACCTCTTCCCAAAAATGAATTTCGAGCCCTGATTCTTGTTATTAAGTCTCCCATTGTATGGGGACTATATAGGACCACGCACATCTATTTCCAGCCAGCCACAGAAGACTACTACCTGTATGTAAAGCCTCCTCCAGTCTCCTCAGAGGTAGTTCTCAAAGAGCCATCCAGTCAGTTTTAGTAGTAACATCGTCTGCACGTTGAATGTGTATTAACTGATAACTTCACACACACACATCACAATCCCACACCTGTTACGGTGGCACGTCAGCAGAACGTACTGCACTTACACGAAACCCTGATTTTTCAGTTTTCTTTAGATGTTTGATCAACATAATTGCATTAGAATTTTTGCCTGTTGCAGAAGATATCTTTTCCAACATAACATTTGGAGCCTACAGACGGGACGTTAACCTAATATATTATGTGAATACGACCTTATATGAGATGTTTTGCCAAAGTGCTATGCACAATACATTACGGGTTTCACGCAGGTGCAGTACGTTCTGCCGACGTGCCTGTTACGGTGATGTGGCAGGAAATGTTTGACGTTTGGTGGAGTTGTTGTCCTAATGTTCAACCATACAACCATCATGAAACTTGATGGCCCTCACCACATACATGTACATGTAATATACACAGTGGCCCTACTAGATTTAACACGACTTGTTTGTGGCGTCACATCACTCACACCCCTGCACACCAACACAGCACGGTGGAACTGGCATATCATATACAGGTGCACTAAAGGTAAGCATTCTTTAGAAGCATGATATTGCCAGCATGTCAGTAGAACGTTACAGTGCCTGTGTGAAACCCAGATTTTTTACGTCTTTCATTTTACGTTTGGTCAACGCTGCATCAGAATTTTGCCCGTTGCAGGCGAAATCTTTTCTGACGCAACACTTGAAAGCTATAGACGGGATGTCGTCCTTAAATACACACGTACAACCTTAAACAGACTGTCAAAGTGCTATGCACACAATACATTACGGGTTTCGCGCAGGTACAGTTACTGTACTATCTGATGACGTGCCAATATTCCCCATCCTGTTGTTGATATCCCTTGTGATGCCGGGTTACAGAAATGTTTATTGTGGCTAAGCTTCCAGCCTCACAGTCCCTCTACCCCCCCCTCCCCGTCCCAACCAGAAAGGCCAAGCTGTGCCCACTGCGTGACTGTTGCAGGTGGTGAGGCCACACCAATTGAATCCCTTGGTTCTCGGGCATTTTAAGTTCAAACTATACCAAGTAGACATCATAAAATCAGAGGGCTAGGCAGAAAACTTGAATATGACTGTATTTAAGACAAAAAAAAACAAAAACTGAGGGCACCTAGGCATCAACCTGGTCCTCAGACTTTGTTTTCATTCATGAGTTTTTTCCAGTTAACCAAACTTCGAAATAAAAAAATCCGAGAACCAACAAATTAAATCGGTGCGCCTGAAGATGAGATAGCGTACTCTACAGGGGATGTAGGAAGCTCCGTGTCCGGTTATTAGATCTTGGCTCCTTTGAGCGCCCGTAGCGCCTTGCGCGCCGCGGCCGACTTGGCGATGCGATAGTTGCGCCCGACGCCCTTGAACTGACCCTTGCCTATGACGGTGACGGTCACCCGCACTTTCCCGTCGTAGGTCCTCTCTGATGGACTGTTGTCATGGAAACAAAACAAAACAGTGTCATGTCAAGTACTGTCATCACCTCAAGCTTTCACACCTGTGAGGCTATGAGCATAGTTTTTTGTATTCTATACATGCAAATTGAACTGCTTGGATTTGAAGATACCTTAAACTTACATGTAGCATGAAAGTTCATCTGAAGTGGTAAAATATATTATGAGACACTTAAAACAATATATGCAATATTTATGAGACACTTAAAACTGTTCTCCAACTCAAATTATTACCAAAATTTTCCATCAAATCACTTGCCAATGGTCTTCCTTGGCGTTCTGACCTCATTGCTATAATTACAAGGTTTCATTCATGTTTGGCATCCTTTGAGTTGGAGAACAACAGTTGAAAGTTTCTCACAATACCTCGAACTTGGCTGACAAAACCCAGTACCAGTAAGGCCACACCAATTTAATTTTATGGATGACATCCTCTGAAGACCCCCAAACTAGTGTGCGCGGGCGAAGAAAAAAAAATTCCGGCCAAAAATAAAAATGCTACTGAACCACAGGAATACAAAGCTGGTATTGTGAATTCCCGACAGTACTTAGAGGTGTATACGACAAGCTGGCACATGCTGGCTTTTTGCGGCATTTATGAATATCGGTACTGTACTGAGTTCTTGAGTCCATAGCCTGGGTGCTCGGCTCCATTTTGTCGCAGACTAGCATGGACTACCCAGGCCTAGAGCTAGGCCAGAGCCTAGGTGGAGGTGATATTATTATTTTTTTTTAGGGCGACAGGCGAAAATCAATGCGCGCGCGGGTGTCATCCATAAAATTAAGTCGGTGTGGCCTAAGTGCACCCACCTGAACTTGGCTGTCTCAGGCTCCATTTCCAGCAGTTCCCGTACAGGGGAGCGAGGCACCTTCGCAGAGAACTTGTCTGTAAACAAGGGAGAAGAAAACGAATAATGTTGGATAACTAAAGATACAACATGTAATATTGCTGTGCCACTATTTTCCATAGGAAATATTTTCATAGAATCTTGCACTAAAGCTATCTACCATGCCATCTAAAATGACCCTAGCAAGTCCAGATCACAAATATCAAAAGTGGAATTTCTGCTGCAGTACCATTACAAGCTGCCAGGGTACCCCAAATCTAATCATTTCGAGGACTAATAAAGTCCTACCCACCAACTAAGTTTACTGACAATCCATTCATAGCTTCTTGAGTTATTGTGCAACCACCCCCCCCTCCCCCGCCCTCCCCACAGACATATACAAACACTACCAGAAACATCTTAAACATTCTGGGCAAAATACGTCGATGAAGGTTAGACATCCAGGTAATACGATACGCCAAAAAAGCAGTTACTCAAGCAACTGGATATGATTTTTGAAAAACGTCAGACGTTTCAGCTAGTATCCACTAGCTTTCGTCAGTGACTGAGGGACCAGAGGGGGAAAATGCAGTTTTA